GACGTGTAATTTCACAGGAACTAGCAAAAGAAGTTTGAACGAAATTGTAGAATGCCTCCCCCCTAGGCCAAACAACCTTGCTTTCACATTATAAATACACTTACCAGACAGTGAAGGAACGATGATATTGTAGTTTATGGGCGAGGCCCGAAATCATTAGGAATTTCATTAACAATTACATTTCTTCTAGTAATGCTGTGGAATGGGTGGAAATCGTGGAGCCACAAACGAAACAACATATGTACGCGAATCTGATATCTGGACAGTGCTCATGGGAGCCTCCTCCTGGGGCGTCAGTGTAAGAAATTTTTGCATTTGTTTATTTCTATGACTCATCGTTCACAGTACTGATGCTGTTATCATCTTGTGCAGAGCACTCGTCATAGCGTGGCTATCAAATCGTTATCTCTTTATTTAAGACATGATTTTCAATATACACTAAGACAAAATTTCCTCTAAAGGTTCTTCGCCGTTGATCAGTCTCTTTTCTAGAATGCACCATGCACTTTGTTTTCAGAGTTGTAGTGGTTTACTGAGTGCGGTGTGGCATTTACAATAACTTGCGGGGCCCGCCGCTGTACAAGTTAGTGTTTTTATTCGCACAGGCCAATCTCATACCAGTATAGTGTTCTTCAAGAAAAGGTTTTCTCTTCGTATTCTGGAACATATAGCCCATCATCTTGTAACCTATTCGGTTGGCGGTTGGTTGGCCTGTGCTGGAGCCGACGCGGGTTTTGACTCCTTGACGTGACAAGCCGGATACTTGCCACTACACCACCATTCCCTCTGATGGAGCAGAAGAAGGTGGCGACATGAAGACCATTTCTAATCCTCTGCACATTTCAAGCCCTCGTAACCCTCTTCTATTTCATTTCCTGACTTCCTGTCCTTCCCATGCAATTCTGGATGAAGGGCTAGATCGGTAGGATGCACCTATGTTGTTGTTATTTATAATTGGTATTTTGTTGTTATTTATAATTGGTATTGTCTTAGTCAGTCGGGGCGGTGCCAGAGAGGCGGAATGAGTCCGCCTACGGCTTTTTTTTAACCAGTAGTGAACTGCTAGTGATCGATGTGGAAAGAGAACCGAATCAACTGTAACAATAGCAACTGTAACCAAATGATTTGCTACTGTTCACTTTTAGTTGATTTAGGGAACATAATGCCCTGAACGTTATCAGTAGAAGCTCTTTTTTCGAGAGAATGCTCCCATGGAACCTTTGAACAAAATTTGGAATAACGAAGCCAAGGGAACCACCAATTCTTCCACATGAAAATATCGTTCACTTCAGTAATGATTTTCTTTGATATCCCTTATGGTTAGAGCAATTTCCGGGAAGCGCCGCTCACTGTGGCGTTTTGATTTCTATGACATTAAATTTATAATTGCATTTTGATGGCTCCATAGCGTCTGCGATGCAGGTGTAATAGA